TATAATGTAATCGATATAACATGCAAATTATGCTTGGGAAACTATCGATCTATAATGTTCAGTCGTAGTTTAAAATAATAAACTGGCATCAGTTCTCATTTTTCCTCGATTCTATAGACGGTAACGAACGAAGCTTTTTTCTATAAACATCTATGTATTAGATAAACAGCGTGTACGAAAATATAAACCCATCGAAAATGGCAAAACGCTAATAATAATCGCTGACCAATATGATTGTAAATACCTATATATTTTAAAAGTCTCGGACACCAAGTTTCCTAGTTTCTTATCGCATTCATAAATTATTTAAATATTATGATATTATGGAGTAAAATCATAATAAGGTTTTCCACCTATGCAGTTGGTTGTAGTTAGTCAATAATTATTATTGACTACTTAATATTAATTTTTTTAATCTTGATTCTTGAATAATGTAATATGCAAATATACTATCAACTACGATATTATTCGTATAATCGTATCAGATTTTAGCGACCAGAAATAAGTTAACGGTATGTAGGTACCTACTAAGAAATTTATATCGTCTGGTACGCACATTGAGCATATTGCGCAGGTACCTTTCTCCTGAGTTAATCTTAATCCCATTTCTATTTATCGCCGACGTTGCTGCTGCCTCCGTTACCGTTGTAGGTTTATTTTTTTTTAGTTTAGACTAGTCGAATATTATACCTATTGGCTATTGACTAGTTATTTGATCTTGATATCGTGTTTATTATTTTTTTTCAACCATAATATTCAATCAAGTATTTTTTATTTGTATAGGTATATACTATATGTTATATAGGTTTATATTTTGGATTTTAAAAATACATTTTTCACATATTATCTGTAAAATGTAATTAACTTTCAATTTTCATTATCAACCAATTAAAATTGTTTAATTTTGAAGACTTTTTAATGTCTGTACTTAGTATAAATTGTCTTAGTAAAAGTATTATTATTATATATTGATACAAGAGAAATAAATTAAAATTAAAAAGTCAAAATTATTCAAAATGTTCGCTAATATATTTTTGCTTTTAAATTTCTGTAGGTTCACCCACCAATTCGATTAGCATTTAGCAGACATATATTTCATATTTGGTATTCATATAGCACGATTCGAATTACACATAACTGGTCAATACCAATTGGAAAGCAAATATACCCGAGGTAGTCAAATAACATTGACGCCTTTACAATAATCTCTGTAATAATTATATAGTATTGTGCGAATATCGACATTTTTAGAAGAAAATTTCAATTCTAACCACTGCGTGTTTATGTTACTATCTAGTAGGTAATATTTTTCGTGTGGTGTACGTATTTCGAGTAAACTTGAATAAACATTAATATTTAATTTGATGAACTACGTTACTATGGTGAAACTAACTTTTCCACCGAAACCATTTTCTTCAGATTCCCTTCTTTTACCCTTTTATTTCAATTTGTTCATTTCATTTTATTTCATTTTATTTAAGTTTTTTTTCTTATTGTAATGATGGTCAATTAATTTCAAATACTGTCATGAACAGCACTTGCCAAGACTTTTAATTTTATATCATCCGAATAGAAAGAAGTTTCGTCGTAGGCAATTAAAGAAATGACAATTCTAAAGAATATCCATTTATAACCAAATGGCTCATTATAATATAACATCATAGTATACGTTGAGTGAATATATTTTTTATTAACGTTCACTTATGGTGTAGACTTTAGTTATGGTGTTTTAAAATGATTTAGTCTGCGGGTATAACATTATAATATTAACTATTAGCTAGCCGCCCATCAGGCACAAGTACGTGTTAATTGATTTGTTACATCTTGTCAATAGATAAATGTTATATTTTTATTAATCTATATAGCTGCATTTACGTAATTAAATCCAATATATTTTTCTTCCTTTGATAAAAGTTAAGTTTATAATCATTTGGTAGATATTTCGATGTTATTGGCGCCTGATTTTTTATTTATATTGATTTTTTTTTTTTGTTTAAAATACTTCAATTGCGTCCACTTATCGCGTCATTTGGACGACGTACATGTGTGATCTCGACTCTCCCGGTGTAGGCGGGTGCTATAAATATAATACTGTGCGGTGAAGTCCGCGCATTGTGTGTGAAGCTGCTTTGTATAGCTTGTCAAGAAATCAGAATAGAAAAATTAGCCATCGACGATAGTAATCAAAATTTTGATCGACTGAAAAATATCCTGCTTCCGCGCTTGGAATAAAACAAAGAACATAATTGATAAAGACCCGTTTTCCGACTAGACGCGTTGAAATTTCTCTGATCTCTTTTTTCGTCGTCCGTTTTTGCTATACTCCCTGAATACCTACATATAGCATAAATTGATTTCGACTTTTATCGAAGTGTTTTAATGTGGACGTTTCACGGTCGTGCGAAAGCAAACCGATGCCTAGTGCGCCAGCGTGTCCTCTCCCTGACGCAGTCTCTCTTGCCCGACGCCGTCGTTGAATGAGTGGCGGCGGCGGCAGCGGCGTCAATATGCGTAATTGGACGGCGCGCCGTGTAGGCAACAGTTACGGTCGGTCCGGCGGCGGGGTGGTTGTCTCGGCAGCGATATGTGGCGTCGCGTGGGTGTAGTGGCGACGGTGGTGGCAACGGTGGTGGTAGTGGTGGTGCGGTGGCGGCGGTGGTTATAGGAGACGTCGACACACGGCCGATGCGCACAAGACGCTTGCGCTGTCCCGCGAGAAACGACGACGACGACGCCGCGCCGGACGGACGGACCACATGACGCCACACGTGTGGTGCCGCGTGTATAAAGTATAAACTGTAAGGCACGCGTCGTTTTTTTTTTTGAATTTAAATGGAATTTCCGCGAAAACATGTTGAGAGAAAATCCATTAGCGCACCAATGAAATGGCGTCTCCGTCGCGTAATCGTGTGTTGTATAATACTATGTATAATAAAATATATCATCTGATATAATATTATACGAGACGATATCGATCCCCCCCGAGGAGACCGGACAAAATATTGATAAATCGTGCGACACGTCGATCGATGTTAGATCGTTTCAATGGCTGGCGGGGACATGGTTATATCGCGGGAGACGGGAAATTAAATTCGTTTCGATTATTCGTTGTAGCAAAATATTATATACGTGAACGGGATTTGGCCCCGTCAGGCCTATATATATATAATATATATGCACACGAGCGCGGTCGCTCGCGGGGTGAGTGGGGTTGGACGAACGGACGGACGACGGCGACGACGCCACCGCCGCCGTATATAAAGACGGAAAGCTCCGCCGCCTCCGTCGACCGGTATTGATTAACCCTCTGCGCGGCGTTACTATGTTGTATATGTACATAATATAGTGTGTATGTATATATATATATATGTATATACTATATATTTACACATATATATATTTAATATATAATACAGTATATGGTGTGTGTGTGTGTGTCATTCGCGACGACTATTACACATGCTGAACGTGTATTTATAATAACAGAGTGTTATGATATTATTATATACACGCTAGAAATAAAAAAAACGAACCTTCCAGCGAGGTAACGGTCATACTTAGCGTGTATGTGCAGTGTCCGAATGAATATGCGAATTCTTACCGTGCATGACCTACTTATGTTTTCGATAAATATATATATATTGTATAAACTTGAAATTGTGTAGTGCAAGAGAGAGAGACTTAATCAGAAATCAGAATTATCAGGTATATATTGGCTATAAGTATATATAAGTACCTGATAATTCTGATTAGGTCTTGAGCTGATACGACTGAGTCGACTGACTGTACCGCGGTTTTGAAAACCATTCATGGTGCCGAAATGTTTACGCGCAAAAAAGTTCCCGCCAAAGTTATGATCGATATCAATTAAGTCACACTCCGTTAAATCGACACCAGAAGACTGTACAATTTTATTTTCACATACGTACTATAAATATTAAAATATGCATACAATTATTTCCCATTCCAAAATGTTAGTATTTTCGTATATCTAACAAAAGCAAAATTATAGATTTTCTTTGTTTTATCAGAATTTTTCGTGTCTTGTTTTTCTCGGTCAGAGATATGAGGGCAACCGTAAGAAATTGACTTACTAGAAAAAAAATTGTATGCAAGCAGCGGCTACCGCCGCCGCGACCACCGCCGCCTCACTGTCCCGGTGCAGGTTGATGACCGTTTAACAGCTCTGGTGCTACCGGTACGCTATTAGTATAATTATAAGACAATCGTCCTCTGTTGTGTTTGCTCAGTAATTCAATAATGTCTATCCAAACATAGTTAACTAGCGGTTAAACTATAGTGTCGGGGGAAAAAAAATTTAACATTTACACTAGAATAATATGTGTCCTATAATGTGAGCCAAGTGTTATGTCTGGTATACCTAACTGTTGTGTACGATAGTGTCCATTTGCCACACCGGCGTTTCGACATTCGACTGAAACACTATATAGGTACCTAATAACATTGTGTATATGATTGCGCGGGAACAGTACATAGGCAAGTGACAAAAAGTAGGCCAACATTCTTTGGCGTTTTGCATAACTCGCCTCAATCATTAATTAAATCTCGCTTTTCGGTCACAATATAAACATATATGTATTTATATTTAAATATATCGACGACTAAAACATTGATGGATTAATTACGGGTTTTAGGTTTTGTATATTATATGCATATGCATATGTAATTACTACATTCGTATAGAGAACGATACGTCGTCGTCTTCACTCCCCCGACGACGACGACCACAACGACCGTTCACGGTGAAAGTAGTATTATTATGCTATAATAGTATAATAGAATAATAGTAATATATTTATACATGTCCTTTGTGTCACGTTCCGGAACTGCCAAATAACAAGAAAAAAACTTTCGAACTTTTATCACCGTACAGTATTTTGTCTGAACAATACACACACACTCACACACACACAAATTATGTGTAATATATAGCTGTAAATTGTAATCGGTTTTTAAATTATTTTTTTCTAATTTTGCAGAAATTCGGCACCAAGAGACCTTCCAGTGAAGACATGGATGGGTCGGATGGCGTATACCACGATGGTATGCCAGCGCCGCCCAAGTGCGTACCCATTCCTCCGTGCGGTAACAACGGAGTCGGTGGCGGCCCTCAGCAGCAACAGCAGCAGCAACAACAACAACAACAACAACAGCAGCAGCAACAACAACAACAACAGCAGCAGCAACAACAACAACAACAGTCTCCCCATGCCAAAAACGACGCGAGTAATAATGCCAAGTTCAGCGTGAAAATCGTGCAGGAACTCGAGTTTAGCACCAGTGAACACCAGCATAATGCTCAGATCTCCACCAACCTGACGCTGACGTCAGTCAACACGTCAGTGCAGAGCGACGTTACCACAAAACAGTCGGCAGGCGGGGGCCCTGGTGCGGGTGGCGGTACGGTGCCCACCGCTTCTGGTGGCGGTGGAATTCCACCTGGAAGTGCTGCTGGGGCGACCGGCCCGCCAACCGACCACACGATGCACGAGTGCAAGCAAGAGCAACCAGACCTGATGGACTTCCCGGGCGATGGTGACCTAAACGACCTGTCTTTCATCAACAACGACACCAACGAACCCATATTGGCCGTCGACACGGACACGCTGACCGAGATCATATCGGACCTTAACAGCGAGGGCATCACGCCGGCCGACTTCAACCAGGTGGACTTGTGCGACAAACGGCCTATAAAGACAGAACCTGATGCCAGGTGCACTCCACCGGTTAAGTCGCCGTATGACCAACACCATCAGCAGCAGGTACACCAACAGCAGCAACACCAACAACAGCAGCAACACCAGCAGCAGCAACAGCGAGGTGGCGGCGGTGGAAACAATAATTATTCGAATTGTGTGGCCGCCGAGACGCTAAAACAGTTGGCTGAACAGCACAACAACCAGCAGCAGAGGCCAGACAAGTGCGGTTACGATTTCCCTTACCAATCACCCGGTTCCGTGCCTGACTTTATACACTCGCCCAGCACTCCCGTGGGCACTCCCAACCCGAACGGTTACAACATGATGTCACCCGTAACTCCATGTACCACCAGCAGCAACAACAGCGGAAAAAGCAACAGCAGGAGAACAACAATTATTACCATCCTCAGGAACAACCAAAGCCGAGGATGAAGCAACAACAGCAGCAAACAACCCCACCCAACACGCAGCAGCAACAACAACAACAACAACAACAGCAGCAGCAGCAGCAGCAACGACGGGTGGCGGCGCAGCGACTACAGAAACAACAACAGTTGCCACCCCCGCCCGCCTCCCAACAGCAGCAACAGCAACCCCTCCAGTCGCCCCAGTCCCGATACAACCAGTATAACGGACATGGAAGTCCTCAGTATCCTGTGTCGGCGGCTCGCAGGATAACGCCGTCGCCGGGCGCAGCTTCGGCTGGCGTCCTGTCCCCGCAGCAGCCCAACGCCGCCAGTCCAGACGTGGTGGCCAGCTCGTTCCAAATGTCCCAGTCCCAACAAGTTCACGTCAGTCAACAAGGCCAACAACAGGTAATAAACCTTCTACTGAATTATGCATAATTAATTAAGACGACTCCACACTGTGTTGTCTCTGTCTTACAAATTGAAATGTTCCACATGGAAAATTTGTGTTCAGTAGTTTCAATTTTGCACAGTAAGCATTTATAATATAGCGATTAACTTTTATCAGTCTTAATCTGTGTTTTATCGTAACGTTTTCACGGATATTTAATATTTAAGCGATTTATGAGTTTTTTTAAATTGTAGGTAATATTTTACATACTCGTAATTCACTTAAAAATAACTATATCATAAAAACACAGCTTTAAGCTTGATAATAGGCCAATTCTTTATTCTAAATGTCTTTTACACAAAATTGGAACTGTTGAACACAACGTTTGTAAGTCGGAGACAACACTATGTATAACACCTATGAGTCTTCCCAACCATTTTTATAGCAATATTTTCTCAATATTAATTATTTGTCAACGTTATTATTTCGGTGCTAACTTTGTCAATTTCACGTCGGCCTCGGGACCAGGTCTACAAATTGTTCGTTAAAAAAAAACTACGTCGGTGAACTCTTTAACGCCGTCTAGATTTAGTACCCAATATGTGGTGTAAACCATAATAGTATGGTATTTCTGTAGGTCTGAAAACGATTAAGATCATATTTTGTCGTCGTCGCATAATTCTATTAGGTATACTTTTCGTTCGAGTGGTGGTCCATGTGTACATTATATAATAATATTGTTTTGTTCGTGTACGGTGTGTTGTGCTGGTGTTATCCACTCGAAAGTCATATTATTATCGATATAACATCGCGGAGGTTCGAGTGGGCGAAGCGTTGTGTGTATTCGTCCTGTACCTCTTCAATCCGCACGCGTTTCTCTGTTTTCGCCTCTCTCCCACATCCGCTCCTGTCGTACACACATCTCACTCCGGAGCTGACCATATATATTCCATATGTTTTCCAAAGTGTTGTACTACGCGGCGCGTGTTGTGTATCTCGGGCACGAGAAGCAATGCTGTCGCGTACGGCGAATCGAGCGATGTTATTCGTGTGTACGCTATGTGGTCTGTGTGTATTATTTTTTACTTCTAGTCCACTTCCTGTGTTGGCTTTCTCCTCTCGGATGAAGTAACAGCAGTTATTCAACGCGCGAGAGAGAAAAAATAGTTCACGTTCGGCCGTGCTAATGTCTACTCGCATCGATGTCGCGTCATCGTGACTTCGGCACCGGTGACGGAAGGGGAGAACGTACTGATGTGACGTGGGAGGGGGCACTCGGCAACACGGTACTTCGTTTTTTCTCTCTCTCTCTCCCTCGCTCCCATTGCACCTCGCTTTTTATTATAGTAGTCTCTCGTTCGATTAGGATTATTAGCTTAATTCTTTTGGCCTAAATAGTTTGGCCGTTAAAAATTAATATGCTAGAGAAAAAAACCTCTGGTCCGACGACACGTGTGTGTGCGTTATAGCCTATCAAAAAACCCAGTTTAACATGCTTATGTACTATACGTATAGGACAAGACTCGCGCGGGGGCCGTGTCCGTGTGCATAATGGTTTTTTAATTAAATCCAAGTGTCATCCGAGTGGTGGCGGCGGCGGCGGCGGGTGTGTGTGTTGGCAACAGTGTAATATTTGTAACGCGCGCGTTATTATGCGCTCGCGGTGTATATACGCGCGCGGGTACCGTCACTGCCATCACCACCAGTCACCAGTCACCACCGCCACCGCCTCCACCACCACCTCCACAGCCGTCGATGGCTTATTATGCAAGACAATGTCGACTTCCTGCATTTATTTATTATAATAACGCGGCTACCATTTGCTGTTGCGTTCGGGAATAAAAAAAAAAAAATTATACAGGCGATTAAAAAAAAAATAATTTTATAAAACTGTCGGTCGAAAATCGCCGTTCCTACCTATAACAACACACCAACACCGCTCGTCCGTTGACATAAATTAACAGCGACATTCAAGGATAATAATTATCCGGCGGAATAATATCGAAACCCATACAGATACTCATTTTTTTTTTCAATCTTTTATTAATAATTCTCACAGGTGTGCAATACAAAAAAATAATAATTTTCTATTCTTGTCCTTGATGTGGTGTGGCGGCGATCGGTTCCATATTTTAAAAAAGCGCGCGCGTGTTTTGGATCGAAAACGCACTAATAAGGACCTCTGGTGGTGTTCGTCGTCGTTCGCTCTCCTTTACCGCCCCGCCGTTATACCATTGTTGTTACTATTTTCCGCGTTCTCTTTAGGATACAAACCGGAAACATTTCTTTCGATTTTTTCCTCTTACATAACATAGCTGGTAGTACAATATTATATTATTATATTGTCTTTCGCCCAACGATTAATGCAATTCGGTCGTTGCGTATTATAATAGTAATAATATAATAGGCAATTCGATATATTATTATTATTATATTTTATTGGATTTTCACATTTCGAACGCCGTTGGTTTAGATCCCGATATTATAACTTTATACGCATAATATAATGAAATTATTGTTTTTGTCGGGTAATAAATAATAATCACTGAAACTAATAACAATATTGTTTCAGTAATAGCGTTTACGTACGTGGTGTACGTGGCGTAATTTAGAGCCTTGTTTTTATTAGTCTTCCTTTTATTTTTAATAACGCACACACATAGCATACGATTAGTTTAGAATGAAAACTAATTATAAGAGGACCATTAAACCTCGCCCCGTTCAATTATTTACGGACGAATGGTAAACTTCTATTAGGTACACCGTACACCAAAACGTTTGACACTGTTATCCTTGTGTGTTTCAACAAGACATTGTTGCGATTCAAAACTATTGACTCATGAAATTTGAATAAAGTTTGGACAATATTGACACATAGTAGATTTTTTTTAGCTATTAAACGAAATTGTGATAGTGTGGCTATTGTTCATCGTATTTTGGTTTAGTTTTCAAGTTATCGTTTTTAAAAATATGTTCAATATAGCTGTTCGTCGAGACGTGCAAAATCAACATTAGGTGATGTGTGTTAAAAATGGAATTTACCATTCCCATCGTTGATCCAAATGTTCGTTTGTAATATAAATTATATTAATGATTTTAGTTTTTGTTATAACAGGTGGTTTAACACATTAACTGTGTCATGATGTCCTTTTTGAGAAACTAATATTATGTTATTTTTTGCAGGCTTTTGGTCAAGGGCAGGCCATCCAAGACAGACTTATGACCAGCGCTTCAGTCGCTTCGACAACAGCACCAAATTGTGGTGCACCCATACAGCAATACTATAACACCAACTGTGGAGACAACAGACAACAGTCCTACATGCATATGACCCAGTCACAGAATATGACATTCTCACAACAGCGTGCTAGATTGCTCAGTGCAGGAGCCAGTCCAACCAATATTCGACCACCAACTAATGTACAGCAGCCCAATATGAATAACGAACATCACATGTTACCTCAGCACATGAATAGGACACCCGTATGTATACATTGATTATTTGTATAACTTCTAAACGTAACTTGTATTTAATTTAATTTTCATTATACGTATTTAGAACCAGATGAATATGATGGGTCCTGGTGGATGTCGACCACCTCCTCCAGAATACAAACTAAACGTCGCCCAAAATATGGGTATGTGCCAAACCCAGTTTCCTGCACAAGGATACATGCCATCGGCCCGTCAGTCTTTACCACAAGGTGCTCAATCTAGACGACCTATACAACAACAACCTATTCCACCTTCGGGTAAGAAAACACTATTTTTTGATAATTTGTATGAATATAAATTAAAAATGTTATTTTATTTTAGGACCTATGCTACGATCACAAATGGCTAATACTGGTGGTGGCGGTCCAATGGCTGGTGGCTACGATCGTAGTATGTCATCAGTTCAGAGAAATATGATGTACCCTGGCTCAGGGAATCTTCAACGACCACCAAATGTCACACCTAGTTCAGAAGCATTTGACAGTGATTGGCAACAACTGTTAGCAGCAAGGCAACAACAACAACAGCAACATCAGCAACAGCAACAACACCAACATCAACAACAGCAGCACCAACAACAACAACCACATCAACAACAACAACAACCGCAACCTCACCAGCACCAACAACATCAATTTAGACCCACAGTTACCCAAGCTTCAAGTAATTACTTAAACTAATATATAATATATATTAATGTTGTCGATGCTAGTCAATAATATTATTTATATTATTTGTGTTTTCTAATACTTGTACTTTTTTTGTAGTTGGCAATTTAAACCAACCTGGAAACACTCCAGTAAACAATATTGGTGCAGGTTATGGTGGTGCTAATCCAAACATAAACACTTGCCAAACAGGGCCGAATAACGTTCACTTGATGGCTGGACAAATGCAGCACATGTCTGCTAGAATGGGTAATGGACAGCAAACTATGACACAGCAACAACATGCCAATATTAGTATGCAGTCACAAAATAATCAAGTAATTATTGCTACTATTATGTCTATATCCCACCCCCAAAACTACATCTTTATAAACATTAAAAAAATTCAAAACTTACCTATGTCCTATGAAGATAATTAAAAATAATTATAATCTTAACAATGTTTTCAGATGTCGGTAAATCTTCAGATGTCCCAAGCGATGAATGTTAAAATGGGCGGAGGTGGCCAGAGTCGTATGACTACTAATGCACAGATGGTTCCTCAACAACCTCAACAACAACAACAACAACCTCAGCATTCACCACATCCACAACACCCACAACACTCTCAACATCCACAACATCCCCAACATCATCATCAACAACAACAGCCTCAACCTCAGCAGCACCCGTCCATGATGCGAGCAGCACAGCAACAACAGTCATTCACCCAACAGCAACAACAGCAAGCAACAATGAATACTGGAAATCCGTATCAGCGTAACATGGCTTCTGGTTACGGAGCAAACCCACATCAGCAGCAGTACCAGCAGACAAGCACAACAATGCAACCTGCACCCGTTGCAAATCCAACAACTATGCTAAACACTAACAACGGATTACCGTCCCGTAACTCATTTAGTCCCAGTGATTTCAATTTTGATTTCCTAGATCAGCCACTCGCTAATGATAGTAAGAATGGTTTTAATAACAAGCAACAGACGTTTGGTGATTTCAACTTTGATTTCCTTGATGCTCATTAAACGTTTTTATAGTTCCGCATTAGACATTGACACCTTGACCTAGATCGATATTTAATGCCTGTGATATTAACTATGAACTTGATCACATTGTTTTGAAAGTTGCACTACGGCCAATGTAGCTTAAATCAAAATTTACCATCTTTTTAAAAATGTTTAAGGTTATTTTTGATAAGTAAAATTTAATTCTTAAATAAAATTTCTAAAAAATGTCAATAATAATTTTGTATATGTTGGAACAATCATTTTTGATAACCAATACAAAGTATGTAGTCCCAGTGCAAAGACAAAGCTACAGAGGCTGTATAAAACAACTACTATTAGCCTAAAAACTTGAAAGACATATTATTTATATTGTATTTTATAACTATTTAGAAAGGTAAATGTCAAATATGACATTTTGTTCCTACTTCTCTTTTTCTTTCTCACTCTGTTTCTACTCTACAACTTACATACAATAAACTATTGTTACCATTCAATGAGTTAAAGTATTGTTTGATGGGGATGTCAACAGTACATTTATTGTCATCTATATTTTCCTTTACCTGGTGTAATATTATAATAAATTAATTGTAATGTGTGTTTTGAAAGAGGTACCGAGTAGTCATTATTCAATTACCTTACACATTAAACAGGTCGTTATCTTATTTGTGAACATACGACCAAAATAATTAACCCAAGTTACCAAATGATGGTCAGCAAAAAATGAAAATACTTAATTTTGTGAATCAATATTGAAAATCTAAAAAAAGATGAAAAAATACCCATGGGGGAACAACCTCGTTTGATCTCAACTAGTTATTCTTGCATACGTTTCCAAAGCGAGTGGCTCCCTGATGATTTTCTTCTTTTTTATTTTCTTGTTGTTTTTTTTTTTTTGTTTTTGTTGCCATAACAGCAATTTTACCATACAGGCTATGAGTTTGTTTAAGGTTTCTGTAAGGAACCGCCTTGTGATGGTTTTCTAATGATTATGTATTCTATAAAAAGCAAATATAATAATTACTTGAGGTTATTTTTAAACAAATGCGCCCAAAAAATTAAATAATTTATTTATTGTAAATAATAATATGCTTTTCAACAAATATTAATTATCATTATTATATATAAATATATATATATTATACATTTAGAATTGTTTAAATTATAACCAGTTTGGTCTGTAAAATTATTATTACTATTATTATTATTATTATTATTATTATTATTATTATTATTGTGTTGTTGACATAAAATTTAAAAAAAAAAATATTAAACAAAAAAAATATATAATTTATGTATGTATGCACATATAATATTTTATTCAAATTATTTTCTGTTGTATTATTAGTAATTTGTAGTTGCCGATTGATATTCTAAAATACCAAGACTGAATGTTCAACCAGTGGCTAAACACACTAAAAACATTTTTCATTCTTTAACAATAATAAATAATAATCATCAAATTATTACACTGTAAGTAAAAAAAAAAAATTGTTCTGTGTGCTTTGCCACTAGTATTCAGCCTGTTTATGATTTTTTTTTTGTAAAAATGTCCAAAATAATTTTTAATATTAATACAAATGCAATAAAAATTGAGTGTACGTCTGTGTGTGTGTTTGACAGTTAATTTCATATTGTTTTCAATTATTATTCGGTGCCCAATTTTTTATTTTTATACAACAAAATGAAGAATATTTTTTAAATGTGTAATACCAAGCAAAAAAAAAAAAATATTAACCATAAATTTGTTATGTAAAGTGTTTTTTTGGTTTTAAATGAAACCTAAGAGAATAATAATTTTTTTTATATATAAATATATAATATTGTTGAGTCAATTAGTCTGTAGTACCGTGACAATTATGAACACCAATTTGTTTTTTATTTTTTACATTGTATGACTTATGTTAATTTTAATTATTATTATTAATTTGTTTTCGTCTTGTGTCGCTTACCACAGTTTATTTTTATTGTATGAACGTAAAACTAAAATCTTGTTCTAGACCTATAAAAAAAAGAAAATAATAATACCACTGACAATCATTATTATTTTTTTTCTTTTTATATTATAATTAAAAAATTTATTATTTCCAACATTTTTCACTGTTTAATTTTTTGTTTATCTTTATTTATTATTATTTTTTTTTTCTGGTGCGCTTTTCTTGATTATTATAAACTAAATAAAAAAATATTAATATTATATAGTAAATTAAATATAAATAATTATTATATACATTATATACATATATATTTACATACATATATATGTATGTGTGTGTGTGTAGCCTATCAATTACGCTGTTATATAGAGAGTTAAGGTTTAATAATATTTATATATCACTATTATTATACATTTATACCCGACTTAAATTGTAAGTTTAAATTATATTTAAAAAACGAGATTTCATTTGTGCTAAATACGCAGAAAATCGATTATGATTATATTATTACCTTGTACAAAAATTAAGAAAAAAAACAAAACAAAGATAATTGGTTTTATGAGTAAAAATGAATGAACCGAGTTAGTTACAATTGTAGAACAAAATAAAATATATGAACATTTTATATTAACTGAATTGTACTTTTTTGGTAGGCACTCGATACTCTTTACATTTTATCCAAATCCTAATCAAATTAGTGCTTTAATTATACCGAATAACTAGTACATTACAGAATTTTTTATCTGGCCAGAGCCAATGGGAGGTCAATAATATTATGAGGTCAGGTCGTGCATAAATTACATTCTATCCACAAGAGAAAAAAAAAAACAATTAATATGAGAAAATTACTATACTTTTGACTCTTGAAAGAAATTGTTCGACACGTTATTTCTCTTTGACATAGTTTTTATTTATATAGACAAAACGAAACAATATACAAAGTATTTAGCGCAGACTTATCGAAAAATCACTGTAATTCATACATCACTATTCACTGATAATTATTATAAACACAAGTAGGTCGTAGGTATTATGAATTATTATATAAAATATGCCTAGTAATATATTATAGTTAATAATTTGTTTCCATGTACCTATGGTGAACTATTGTAATTTTTTTTAGCTTATGAAGTACATGACCTGATGTCAATACCTATGTTTAAGGTCTGGCCGGTGGTAGGATAATGGCTAAATTTCCAAATATAAACCTGTGCTGCCCACACTGCTTCAGACCTTCCTCGATTCGACATTTTTGTTTTCGATAATTAAATCACTTAAAAGCGTTTTATTTTTTATTGCTGTCAATTGTTAAATATTGGAATTACATAGAAATAATGTGCCGGTCTTTAACTTAAGTTGTTATTGCACTAAACTTATAAGTATCAAAATACTGAAAGCTGAGATGGACACATGAATATGTGGATACTTACTTAATGTCAGTGGGTTGATAATCATATTGTGAAACGTTCAAATGTACGATGATTACAATATAATTATATAAACTATGATGAAAATTTGAAAATGTGATCCGACTAGTAGGTTTATTACACTTATTAGTTATTTCCTTTCGTAGTCTTTAGACTGTAGAACAGTAGAACCATAAAAATAATGGTTAAGACTTAATGGGTGCCAGGTTATAGGTAGATAACACCGACCATCATCCACCCAGAGCTATTATATGGCGGCCACGGTTAATGCTAATGTATTTAATATTATTGTATTTAATATATTTGATGGCGGTGACGATCCCAATAGATAAGTCATCTCAGGAATTGGCGCCAGTGCTTGTAAATTAGAGCTTAGCTGTTTAAAAAAATGCAATGAACCTACCTGGTGAATATTCAAACTTAAAATTTATCCAAGTAATTTATTCTACTAAAAATATTAATAATTTTTTCAGGATTATGATGTGTTCCGTTCCGTTCAGTTGTAGAAAAATATGTTTATCGTTGCAAATAAATAGTGTCAAGAATGAACACATCAAACATATTATTGTATAACAATTATTGTGATCTCAGAAATTTTAACTAATGATTTTTAAATTTAACAGGTATTCAATGTCATCAAATTTGAATTTCAAAAGTAATTAAAAAGAATATGATGCTACCTATAACTGATGTATTTTCGATATTTTAAAATGTCTAAAAGGGTCACTGTAGTGGATGCGTTGAATTTGAATTCAATGATATGAAATCATTGTACCTATATTTTCAAGTACGAACAATATTATTAAATTACAAAAAAAATAACTAAAATCTTTATTTTTTGTTTAGACTTCAAATATGGACTTAAAAATATCTATAAAAAAACAGTAAATATATTTTTTTAATTTTTTGGTTACATATAAATGCTATACATTTTCAATCCTTAGTTATAAAAATCGAACATTTTATACATTTTTAACAACAAATCAATTTGCAACATTTTAACTTCAAATATTCATAAAAATTAGTTTTACTTACTGGTAAACTTTTTTTTTTGTTAAAGGTGAGAAAAATTATATGGAATATTGTATTACATTTTCAAATTTTATATATTATGTATATTTATATAAATATACATTTTTTATGAATTCCTCTAACTCAAACTAATTTGCGGATTTTCGTGGTTTTGAAGTATTTTGTTAAAACTCTTACTTCTGACCTTAGAAAATTATTGTGGATTTATGCTCAATTTTTTTTTAATTTCCACTAAACAATAAAACTTATTATGAATCTTATTATTCAATTTTTAATTATTTTAACGGAGTGAACATTTTTTTATCGACAATAATAAAAAAAATTAATACATTTCCATTGCTCATAAATAGCTCTAAAAGAGTCAAAATATTATGAAAATTAACAGAAAATGCTAATTTAAAAAAATTCGATGAAAATATCACGTATCTACGGTTAAAATAAGCAAAATCGATTTGTCGAGTACTGGCTTTGCATTTTACACCGATTTCCCTTAATTTTTTTTGGTTTTTCCTCAAAGCAGTCAAAGCTTTTGTAAGCTACTGGGAATTTTCAATTTTCACTCTTCAAAAGTACCAACTAGATTAATTTTCCAATAGAAAAGAAACTGAAGTTGAAAACGAAGCAT